CTCCTAAGCTCTGGCTGCTGGGTTCCCAGCAGTCACAGTACTCTGATTCTCTCTCCCTCTAGTTATGCAGATATTCCTTTGATGTTTTTTACTCAGTGTTTCATCACTGGTTTATCATGGGCTCTAGCATCTCACTTAGGCTTTCTGCAAGCTGGTAGTAAAGATACACCCTGGACAGCCAGTTAGGAACTCATGCTCCCGTGGCAGGAGAACACCTACACTGATCTGAGAGCTGCTCTACAGTCCTGAATGCAGCTAAGCAGGGGGCATGGTCAGCAAATGTTGTGGTGGGGACAGGATATGTTGGTGAGGGAGACTGTGATCTGTGGCACGTCTGAAATGATGGAGCTGTAATTCTAGTAATTCCAGAGGGTACTAGTACACAAACTGTTTGAACTGTAATGTTCTCCTTTGTTTTATTACCAGAACTCCTAAATTGAATTATAGCCTCACAGCTTGTTGTTCCCTACTGTTTGTTCTTTATGCAAACTGTTTATGTGTCATCATGATCTAGAGCTATTTTTGGCACAGCATTAATCTTTTTGTAATGTGACCTTGCCTTGTTAATACTTCCTCTCTGAGAGTTTATGAGGGGCCTGTTGGCTTTGTGCTCCAAAGCGCTGACTCCAGCTCTCTGAACATGCTGTCTGCTTGTCTGAGTGTGAGGGTTATGCCTGGATTTCGGGTGACCTGCTGGGCTTCAGTAATATTGTTTATGGTAGAGAGAGTGAAAAACTCCAGGCAGTGTAATTGGTCTGACAGCCACTTCCACGGTGTCTGTGGTATCACAAAGGAAAGTGCTGTCAAAACAGCAATGCCATGAGAGATATTAATGACAAAGTTGAGATGAATGGGGCTTTGAATATGGGTAGTCTGATGACTAAGGAGAGGCTGGGATGCATTTGCATTTGTCATGACTTTGCCTGAACAGTGGTGGAGTAGGGGATGCTCCTTTGGAAATATCAACAGTAAAGCAATATTAATATTTTAGTGAGATAAGTCATGTTTCTCAGACTTTCCAGCACAACATGCCGATATAGACTCTTTTTCATCTTGCTGATGCTTTTTGTGTTAATGTCTAATTTCCCACTTTGTGCTTTGTCATTCCCATTTCAAGCTTGTAATTACTCCTTGTGCACTTGGAGAAAGTCTGCCTCACTTAATGAGAGTTGTTCCAATTTAGCTAACAGAGGGTTTTCTGCTGGAATTGACATAATGTATTTTAATACATGTTAATGAGTACTTTTAATCATGTTAATTTTGAATGTGTAGTCTTGAAGCACTTTGATATTATACTATCAGATAGCAAAAGAAATACAAAGATGGGTAGAATCATTAAATTTCTGGAGCTCTAATGGTCCTAGATTATAAGCAAGGCCAGTTTCAAAAGGGAATATTCTGCCTTTCCTTAAACTACTCAATTGTAGCTGGAAGAAGGCCATGAGTAAAAGATCCTCCATGGGCCCTGCAAAGATCCACGTCTTAAAAAAATACACAACTTGCCTTCAAGGCAGATATATAAATGCTGTTAGTTGACTTAGACTGTGGATAGAACACTGCAGACTGAAAAGGGAAATAAATGCTCCTGATCCTCCAGCAAGCTTGCAGTTCTCTCTGTGGCTGAAATGTGCTTAATGGTGTCTGTGAACTGAAACACCTCAAATACAGATGGATTAGGACTGAAATCTGCCATTTTAAAACTTTCCTCTGTATTTTAAAAAAGGTGAAAATAATCATACTAGACTGCAAGGTCTAAACAGGTCTCAGATTCTATGAAACGCTCTTTTAGTTACATTATTATAAAAATATTGACATTTTTATGCCCAATAGTTGCACTCAGATAAGAAAGTTTCTAGCTTTTGTCTATATGTTGGTAAATACAATTTAAAAATCTAATTCTTAAAAAGCTTGGCAGGCGTTATGTCTCTGTATGTATAGTTTTTTATGCTGCCAAGATCTGAATGGTAATTTCTGTACAGATAGATTCAGTCCTGAGCGATAGTCCAGTACAGTTTAAGGAAGAAAAACTTAGGAAGTGTTCCAAAATCTTACTTTGCGATCCCACCATCTTGTGGCAGTCTGTGGTATTGCCTTAGGAAATAAAAAAATAAAAAATTAGTTCAAAATACTGTGCATGTGTCCCTGTCTACTAGTTGTGACCTGGGTTTCTAACCCCAGTTTAGGAAACACCTTTCTGTATACTGGTATACAGCATGTGCTTCAGGAGGTTAGTTTGAGAGCACAAGACTTCCTACTGTTTCCTTGCTCCTCTCTCAGGTAGAGCCACAATCTTTAGCACTTAACTTACCCTTTCCAGCAATAGTCTATCAGTACTTCACATTGAAAGAAGAAAATTTATAAATTGCATTAATTTTCAGGGCTTTTGTCCCCTTCTTCAGCCTTTTTGTCCTCCATCTGCTGTGCCCTCAAGGAGCAGGTATTCCCCTTTACAACAAGGCTTGATGTAAGATTATTCTTACTTCATGAAGCATGATCCTGGCAGTACAAAGAAGGAAAGATGATACTGCTTAATCCCCTTACTAAGAGATCTGTGCACTAACTTTTAATCATTCTTCAGTAATTTCCCTCGCTTAACCTGTTTGAATCTTGTATTTTGGAAAAGGCCTCTCCAGTTTTATGCAGATAGTCTCTGGAAAGAGGTGGTTCAGTTCTTCAGCAATTTTCCTTGTTTAAATAACAAAAATAGTAATAATAAATTCTTCAGAAAGACAGCCAATGCCAAGCAATCAGAGTTAAATTCTCTGCAGGTGGATGGCCTGTGCTCACTCTCACTTCAGGGCTTGTACTAAAGCTGACAGTTCACATCTGCTCTTTGTGGCAGCTTTCTCTGACCAGAGAAAGTCTTCCCCTCTGCATTTGCTTTTTTCTCTTCCAGATGCACTGACAGCTTAGGAAACTGAAGATCTCTGTGTAAAATTGCTTCTTGGATAAGGCTGAATAGTGACAACTGCCTGGGCGTGCATGCCATGGTTGTGTTTTAAAAAGTGGCAGCAAGACATGCAGGCAGCTACCTGAGAGATTATTGGGGTCTGGGTTTTAAATTCTCGGGTTGTGCAGTATGTAAAGAGTTTTGTTAGGCAGGATGTCAAGAAGAGCTTCGTTTTGCTTAGTTGGCATCTGGATTGGCAATAGGTGGTATGGAAAGGTTAGAGGCCAAATCTGAGCTAGCATTTGAGATCTCATAAAAGAGTACAGTTACACCCGTATCACGTATAGTACCGTTCCCTACATTTGTTATATATGCACCCAAGGAACAGGGTGGGGTAAACACTGTTCTAAATTGAAGCCACTCGACAATAGAGGGTTGCAATCAAGAGATTAGAGTCTGAACTTTCTTTAAAAATGTGGATTTGCATTAATGCTTTGTAAAGTTTCTCCAGAAAAACACTTTTTTGGAATTTGGGCTGGGAATTATTCATGATTGAAATAGAAATGTTTTCTGCGAATTTATTTTGAGGAGATTGATGATGGGTGACATTGAAATTTATACAGTGCTTTATAATCTCTCTTCTTCTGTTTTGACATACCATACCACATTATTCTAAGGTTGTTCCCATCATTCTTGTTAAGATTTAACTTATTTAAAGCCATTACTGTTTTAACAGATCATTTCAAAATAATGATTAACATGCCTCTAGCAAAGCCTTAAGTGCATCGAATACCAGTGGTTCTTTTGAGGCACTGTGAGTTTAAAAAATATTCTAAGTGTAAAGTTTCCAAAGGGAAAGAAAATACATAGTAATGCACATTGTAGAAATGTCTATGCATTTTCTGTTAAGGAAATGAGCATAATTTAGTGTCTGCTTTTTTGATTCTTCAGAAATCAGAGGGAAAGATATCAGCTTGCAGTACAGCTCTTTATCTGAACCAGGGAAAGCATGTAGAACATTCCAGTAAGGATTTGAATAAATGCCTGAGTGGCTAAACCCAGAGATGGTGTCAGATGTAATGCAAGAGAGGTTTCTTCATGCTAAGTCATAGCTTTTATCTAATTTCTACTTACTTTTCAGAGACGTGCTCCTAAGTTACCAGAACGTAACTTTACACCACAGGAACGTTCAAACGAGTGTGATTGCATACCCTCAAGTTGTGATTTTGATTCTCCTCTCCATCTTCTTACTTTCAGTATGCCTGATAAACAGCTGAGGCTCTTAACAGCTGTATCCAAGAAAACCCTTAAGCTTCTGCAAATGTATTTAAAGGAAAGCACATGTCATATCAGGTCTCTGACTGTCAGCCCTGTAATGTTACCTGCTAGCACTCAGACATTTTCTATTTGGTGCCTTAGCTTACTCAGTACAGGATAGAGCTAAAACCCATTTCCAAGGGATTTATGTTTCTGTGTGTAAAGTATATACAGGTTTTCAGTGTAAGAGTGCAGCTGAAAGGCAGAGTAGTTATTTTGTGGGAGCCCACAGGAAAAGGAGGCATGCCAGAGAAAGAGCTGTAAATTCAGATGGGTAAGCTTCAATTAAACACCTGTGGTATATATGGTTTCCTTTAAAACCTACTTCCTTACTACTCATAGCAGAGGAGATGGTGACACAGTGGAATTGAAACATGCTGGACATGTTTTGGGAGCGGGGGCCATCTCTGGTAGGAGAATAATCTCCACTGTGTGAATCTAATACCTGGTTTCTGGCTCAGGGGAAAATGAAAAGCATCATTTAAGACATGTTTTGCATGTCTGATGGGAGATGTTTGTCAACAAGAGCCAGGATCTTCTCAATACCTGTGCCTGCAGATAGGGCCTTATGTATAGTTATAAGAATAAATCACCAGTTGACAGAAATTTGCCTGTGGGTATCCTAAGTTCTTTGTAGGACAAAAAAAGCCCAACAAAAAACAGATTACAGATAGGATCTGTAAATGTATATACTGCTGAAGAGTAAAATCTGAGGTGGCAATAGAAAAGAGCCAGTTTTTAGCCTGTTTTATCCTGATTCACAGTAATGTCTTCTTGTATTCCAACCCAACAGCAATACAGATGTGCACACAGTCGCTTCACTGCTTAAGCTGTACCTAAGGGAACTCCCAGAACCAGTTGTACCATATGCCAAATACGAAGATTTCCTTTCCTGTGCCAAAATGCTCAGCAAGGAGGAAGAAACGGTGAGTTGGTGACTTGAATAAGATGAAATAAAAGGCTGTTCCAGTTTTGAGGAGAGAAACTGGTCATTGTCCTAATTTAAATTTGTCCTAATTTAATGAAATCTATTAATTGAGACAGTTTTTGTATGAAAATTGTTGCCACCTGGGCCCTTTGGAAGTCTAAATAAAAATACATAGCATAACTGTAGCTGTTTTTATTGCATGACACTGAATCCAGTTCAAGTAAACATCATTGTAGTCAACAGCTTTCATTTTGCGTGGAAGAGACTTCTGTTTTCATGGGTTAGATTCTGAACTGTAAAAGGAAGTGTCTTGATGGTTGCTGTTCAACTCTTGCCATTAAATCAGGAGTCATTTTTTTCTGAGCGCTGGGATGCCAACTTTTACTGACTCTTGACTGAAGGCCAATGAGCTCTACTCCTTGCCTGTCATTGAATCACAGAGCTTCAGAAGGATGGAGCGGGCCATCTTCCAGACTCTCTTGAAGAAACAGTGTAACAGAGATGAGCAAATTAAGGGTTCTGACTGGTAATACGTGCCCTGCAGTGGCGTGCACCTACTACATATTATGTAGTAGGCACTACTTAGTCTGAAGACATAAGAAACCTGAGTGCTTGTTTTTACGTTGTTCTGCGTGCTTATGGGTAATTAAGTCAACCCTAATATTTTCTTTTCAAAGTACATCCAAATAGGTTTATTCTGTTGATGTCAGTCTACTCCCTCAATTTTCTAAGATGGTTATTTCTGTTTAATTCCTTTTTGACATTTGAAATTCTGCTAGAACTGGAACCCATCCTATGTAATCTTTTAATTAATTGAGTAGGATCCCCTTTTTAGTAAGAAACTGTCTCCTTTCTGACTTTTCATGATGACTACCAACTGCAGAGGTGGTAGTTGCTCCCATGTGATGAAATGGGAGGAGAAGAAAGATCTGACAAACTGTGTTCTATGGCCATGATGTCTTAGACCTATTGAAGTCAGACTGGTTTTTTCACTGTCCTTTACAGCTTGCTACAAGGTTCACATTCTTGTCAGCTGCTTGCAAAAGGTGGGAGTGGGCTGTTCAGCTGTTTTAATTTAAGCTACTCTTTGCACAAGTTGTGGCAGGGGATCCTTGGAATCGAAGCTGCAGCTGTTTACTTACTTGTTTTGCATATGCCTCTGGACACTGATAGCTCCAATGTAAAGCCACCTGACAGCCCTGCAGTTCGTCATCATGTAGTTTACACTTCAGTTATATTAATTCTGTAATTTTACAGTAGCTTAGTCGAGTGTATTTATGTATTTCCTCTGTAACTTTGCCATGAAGCACTTCATAAAATCAGTTTTGAAAGCAAGATTCCAATTACAGTGGCCTTTCTGTGCTGGAATTGGTCCTGGCAGTTTGTGAAAAATCAGTGCTATGGGTGATGAGCCACTTCAGACCTTTTTGGTGGCTCAGCAGTCCAGCTGTAAGGCTGTCTGACTGGATTCTCAGTTGACCTTTCTCTACGCAGAAGTTGAAAGTGCAGTCACTGTTAAGGGAGAGAGCTGCACATCTTAATTCTTTTCTTAACCCACAGCCAGCAAACTTCTGCACTATCATGCTCTGCCCATCTTCACTTGCATTTGTTTTCATAACATACTGTAACCAAAACCCCACTGATGCTGGCAAAGTACCAAAACCCCACACTGAAAAAGAGCCTAAAGGCACTGGTTGGTGAGGAGCGTGACCAAGGTCTGTTTCCAAAGGGCACAAGAATTACTGTGTGAAATTCTGCCTGTCCCATTCCCAGGGTGGGCACAAACTGAAATAACTGTTTATTAGTTTGGTATGGACCAGAACTGGATAAAATAACCAAATAGTTTCTCGTATGAAATGCCAAACAGTTAAACCAGAGCTGTTCCTGGAAGCCTCAGCCTTGCTATTAGCAGAAGTGGAGCTGCTGGTCAAAGAAAGAAAGAATGAAACAGAAAGAATAGTCAGGATGAAACCAAGATATTTATTTACTTGTTTATTTTTTTCCAGAGCTAATCTTCCTTAGCCAAAACCAAAGTGAGTTCTACAAGCTGTTCCTGATCATAACCTGTATGAACAGTGCAGCATCAGTGATGTGTTTACTGTCTTGGAATTGATGACTTTTTTTTTAATGTCTGGTAAAATACTAAGAAACTGTTCCTCTTCACCCTTTGTTTTTCCTTAAACCACCTAAAGGGCCTGAAAGAACTGGTGAAGCAAGTGAAGAGCCTGCCAGCTGTCAATTATAATCTGCTGAAATACATCTGTAGGTAAGTGCTCTTGCAAGAATATCACAATGGTATTTATAACTGTGAGCTGACAGACAAACCTGTCTGTGTATGTGCCCTGAAGGAAAAGCATTACTCACAGTTGAAGGACTGGTGAACTCAAGTGAATGCACTAAAACTGTAGGTTTACTGCATGACTAATTAGTAATTTGCTCTAGCAAGGTGCACAGTTAGGACTTTTCTTTTGTAAGCAGGCTGCACTCTGCAAGGAGTGCAAAAAGCGAATATATTCTGTCCTTTTTGTAGGACCCTAACTGTAGTTATTGCCCTTGGCTGTGCTCTCCTGAAGTGCCCAGCCTTGAAAACTGTGTATATCTTGTAGTATAGAGAGTAGTTTTGTGAATACATCTGAGATCTTAAAAAAATTTGTTGCATACAGTTGCAATTTGTGAACTTAGAGAAAGTTCCCAGCATAAAAAAATTAAAATGTAAAAGAATCTAAGCTTTTTATTAATTCAAAGTTTGCATTTTAATTTTTTGAGCTAAATAGTTGATTAATTATGCTGGAGAAAGTTGCCGTCTTCCACGGAGTTACCTTGTAGTCGGTCCAGAATGAGATTGAAATTTTTTTATCAGTGTATCATTTTGAAGAAAATCTGAAGAAGTTGAAGACAATAGCCTTAAGATTTCCATATGTTCCATGAGGACTTGGAATGGAATACTTGAACTGTGTTAAGGAACATTCACGTGCTTTGACTTTTTTCTTTTATTTTTTTATTTAGTTTTTATGTGTTTCCTAAGGACCTCTTTCTTCCCCACAGATTCCTTGATGAAGTCCAGTCTTATTCAGGTGTAAACAAGATGAGTGTGCAAAATCTGGCTACCGTTTTTGGCCCCAACATCCTTCGCCCCAAAGTGGAAGATCCTCTGACTATCATGGAGGGTGAGCTTACCATACATAACCTGCAATAGAAAGAAGAAGTGCCTTTAGGTTTATTAACAGCACATACCAGTCCATGTAGTATATGCAGTAAGCTCCATACATCTGTTCTATAGACACAGAAATGTTCAACCTGAATGAACTCCTGGCTTAAATCTTGCAGGTTATAAAAGGTACTGAAACGTGCAGCATTGCAAACAGACTTTGCATGAGGTTGTTCTGCCCTGGCAACTTTACTAAACGTGTACCTTTTCTCTGAACACTTCCTGCAAACATGGCATGTTCTTAGTAAGCACGTGTGGTTGGAGTGCAGTTAATATTTTACCTGTGGTAAAATATTAAAGAAACTATGAGAAAAAGTTACTACAGGTTCACACTGCAGTGACCCGTGTAGACCCCCCCACAAGGCAGTTGTATATTACATGCCTTCTTGCACAACAGGGATCAAATTGTTGTCTGCATTCTGGTGCTTACAGCAGTGTTCAGCTCTAGCATTTTGCTGTGATTAAGGTAAAAACATGGACATGACAATCTCCTCCTATAACCTCCTTCAAGGTTTAATCTTTGTGGCTTTCATTCTCCACGAAGTACATGATGCCTTTTCTCGCTCCAGACACCTTTTTTTTTTTAATATGTAGGATTTACTTAACTTTCTCAGAAATTAGGGAGGCACACAGAGCTTGCACTGAAAATTTTACCTAAACTCAAAAAACGCAGTTTTCTTAGTTTATTTGAGACTGTATAGAATTACTCCTTTTCTGTGAGTATGATGCTTTTTCTCTTCCCCAGATACTACAATTCCTTGTCCACTTTGTTAATTTACTTGTTTTTCTGAAGTCTTATGTTTCCTTCTCCTTTCTTTTAATTCTTATCACAATGACTATGTTGTTGTGAACAGAAACATGGCATTTCCAAATCATGTATGAAATCTGTGAATACCCAGGGTTAGCTGTCTGAACAGTAGCTCAGACAAATTGGAACACCTAGAGTGGAAAGGGTTTTTAATCATCATCTTCACTTTAATGTCTGGGTTCTCATTATCACAGAGGAAGGTTTGATCATGGATTTGATTCAAAAGGGTTTGCAAGAGCAGGTGTCTGATTTACGTGCATGACTGTGCATGAGTGTCATCACACCTGTGCAGTTTCAAGTACCCTTAAATCTGCATTTGTGGCTTTCCCCCTGGTTTCTGTACATACTTTCCTCAAGTGCCCTGTGACTGTCTGATACAGGGGTGCAAAGATGAGCTTCACTGTGTCATTGAATTCCTAGTTTACACATCTTACATCATCTTCCCATGATGTTTTGAGAGGCAAACACAAGTGTTTTCCTGCTTTGTTTCCTTTCTCTTCAGCTGTCTTGTCCTGTCTCTCTTAGGAGTTACCTTTTGTGTGTGTGTGTGTGCACATGTTGCCCATCACTTCAACCTGTCTCTTTGTTTCTACCTGCAGAACTGCCAGACTGTCTGAAGTAGTAGCTTCTCTTACCCTGACACTTCTGTAGAGCTTAGCAGCCTGGTAGATAACTGCTGTGAATGTTTTTCTTGGTCGGGTAGCAAACTGTCCCTTCTTTCCATGCTTTTGCATGAAAGTAGTGCAGAAAGTGGCTCAAATTGTTTAATAGATTGGAATTGGAGAGAGATGTCACAGAGCTGATTTATACCACTGAAGTCAGTAAGAATGGTGTCTCAGAGGTTGACATTTGCTAGTGGGTCACCATGCATCTTCACCTCACGTGGGGCAGGGAAACAAATGGGGATTGGGGATGGGGAGAGGTGTTAGCCATTCCTAAATAAATTACTATCTTCTAGGTTTATATTTTTGAATATAAAAGGAAGTGGCTGTTGTCTAAAGTTGGTGAGTTGGTTTGGGTTTTTTGAAAGTTTGTGCAAGAAAGTTTTTCATTTTCGTGGTTTTTTGTTGATGTTGTTTAGTTGGTTTGTTTGATTTTAAACTGAGTAGAAAGGGAAAATAATGTGTTTTTCCTGTTCTTGAAAGCAGCTCTCCAGCCTGCTTATCAGCAGCCCTAGCATTAAAATCATGGTGACTGCTGTAGGAAATAGGATGGATACTACACTCGCTGTTTGAAAATATATATATTTTTTCGCTAATGAGAAACAGGTTTGAATAAAGAGATTTATGACCTCTCTTTAAGCATAACTTTAAGATTTGACCTAGGACAATGCTGATTTGCAATTAATGTATAGGGACTTCTCACAAAGGCTGTATGTTGGTCGGTGCCTATTGCCACCTTTCCTCATTGCTCTTTTTGGAATATACAGAGTGCTTTTCTTCCACAGTCATTCAGAGTCAAACATGCAGCTATGGGTAACCATACCTGTATAATGGGGATGAGGAGTTGGGTTTGTTTGATTCAGGAGAGATTTTTTTTCAGAATTCCAACCATGGGGCAATTTTTTCCTGTCAAATGCAGTGGTAAAAGTTGCCCGAGTACAGTGCAATGTTTGTAGTAAAGTTCTGCACATAACAGCTAACATTCTTAGAAGGAATACAGCCAAGTGTGCCACAGGAGTAACTAAGTGAATTTTCCTGCTGCCTAGTTCTAATGTATGATTTTGCCATAGCAAACAAACAAATGAGAACACTTTAAAAAGATGTTGAGTACCCACGTTGAATTGGCTCTTGGTACTTGTATTTTAAAAGGGCGGGGTATAAACATCCAGATTATTACAAAGGAGTTGATGTGAAACCACATTGCACAGTGGGAAGTTATTGATTAGAAGAGCACAGCAAGCCTCTGAAAGCTTTTTAGGAGTTTAAAAATGAGGTGGTTATTATAACTGCCTTGACCTTGTTCCTGAAATATTCTTAATAATCCTTAATGAGGATCTGCTTAACAAAATACAGTTGCACATCTTAATCGGGCCAAGTCCAGTTCTAAATGCTAGTGTGTAAATTACAGTGCAGTCAAGTGGTGTGCACACCAAGGGGTTGTTCTTTAAGAGGAAAGGTAGCCATTTATTACAGCACGCAGCAAGCTGTGATCCTGCATTAATTCCATACTGTGCTATAATGTGACATAGTTTCCTGGCTGCATATAGTCTCACTGTGGAGTGGTTCAAGGCATTCACATTAAATTAATTCCGTCTCATTTTGCTTCAGAAGACTAAAATGTCTGTGTTCCAGAAGGCAAATCCCTTGCCTGCCCGTTTTCTGCTAAACTTATAAATACAGGTGCTGTGCCAAAGCAAGACTTTGGGTTTGAAATGGTCATCACATTGAGTAGAAACACATCACTTAGAATGATGTTATCCTTTGCTACTCATCATCTCCTTCTGTGATTTTCCTGGGATGCAGTTACTGTCAGTGTAATAGCTTCTTTGCAAATGTTCCTGTTGTTCAGGGGGTCTGTGAGGCCTGCTGGCTTGGTTTGGTGGAAGGAAGAGGTGATGCTGATGTGGCCCTGTAGCCAAGAGGCACTTCAGTCTTGTTAAACATTCAGGGTGTTACACAAATGGATGCATTGTGTAAATGTTTGTATAAGCTGAATGTTTACTAAGCATTTGTGGACTCTGATGAATAAAGTATGTTTAGGCCTTAAATAAAACAGGACATTTGTGACCATGTGCTTGATGTCTCTTTTCAGGTACGGTAGTAGTCCAGCAGCTCATGTCAGTGATGATTAGCAAACATGAAGAGCTGTTTCCCAAGGATGCAGACCCTCAGGTGGGACCTGAGGTATGCAACAACAACAATGAAATTCCAAAGAAAACTACTGCAGGGCAGCTACAGAACAAAGAGAACAACAATACCAAGGAGACGGCAGTGAGGCGCTGCTCTTGGGACAAGCCCGAGTCCCCCCAAAGGGGGAGCATGGACAGTGAGTCTCCAACTGCCCTGCCAGGCAGCAAGACAAATAGTCCCAGGAACAGCATCCAGAAACTAGATGTCACCAGAAGCCCACCACTCATGGTGAAAAAGAATCCTGCTTTTAATAAAGGTAGTGGCATAGTCACCAACGGGTCCTTCAGCAGCTCTGTGGAGGGCCCTGAGAAGAGCCAGACCTTACCAAACTGTTCCCTGCAGACCAGGAGAACGTCATCCCTGAAAGGTCCGGTGACTAAGATGGGAACACACAGCGTGCAGAACGGAGGTGTGCGGATGGGTGTTTCCAGCACAGACGGGCACAGCAACACCCTCAACAGCCGGGCCCCGGGCTGGGTGCCCAATGGCTACGTCACTCTGAGGGACAACAAGCAGAAGGATGCTGTGAGCGAGTCAGGACAGCACAACAGGCTTTCCACCTACGACAATGTCCACCAGCAGTTCTCTATGGTGAACTCTGATGACAAACAGAGCGTGGACAGTGCCACCTGGTCAACGTCCTCTTGTGAGATATCCCTCCCTGAGAACTCCAACTCCTGTCGTTCATCCACCACCACCTGCCCTGAGCAGGACTTTTATGCGGGTAACTTTGAAGACTCTGTGCTGGATGGGCCACCACATGAAGACCTCTCTAACCCAGGTGACTATGAGAACAAAAGTGACAGAAGGAGTGTGGGGGGCCATAGCAGCCGAGCCACCAGCAGCAGCGATAACAGTGAAACCTTTGTGGCCAACAGCACTAACAATCACAGTGCTTTGCACAGCCTGGTGTCCAGCTTGAAGCAAGAGATGGCCAAGCAAAAACTAGAGTATGAGACAAGGATAAAAAGGTAAGATGTTTTGGCTCTACTGTCTGACTGCCTTCTGCAGAGTAAATCCAAGTTTTCTCTCTCATGACTTGCACCAGGTGCAGTCACTACTGTCTGTGTCACTAGGTGCTTGCCAATGAGTTTCTCATTTTTCAGTGTTGACATGCTCTGGCATTGTTTCTCTGACACCGCAATCCCAAGGGGTTTGTTTCAGAGCAGTTGTTTGCCACAGTTGTGACATGCTGTCCTGTTGGTGTCAAAAATACAGCCAGAACCTTGTGAGTTTCTGTAAAATATAATTAACTAAATCAGTAGGCTCTCAGAACATTTTCATTAGTTGATGCCTGTTCTCCAGAGACTGAGAAAGGCAACTGAATATCACCTTTCAGTGAAAGCAGTGTTGTGGCTTACACCATCCAGAATTTTTTGAGACTGGGGAGACTGCTGGACTCCTTTCCAGTTCTCATTTCTCTTGAGACAGTGCAGCACCTGGGAGTTACCTCTGCTCACAGTCCTGTCTTTGCTCTGCTGCTTTGCCTGAGCCTTTCCTTCACGGCTCGGACCTATTAAAGGAGGCACCTTCTTTAATAGGTCATCCTGTGTCTTTGTCTACAGGTAGTGCAGACTCTGCTGGCACACAAGGTTGCTGGGGTGGATGGCCATAATGGTCAGTGAATAACCTCAGAGTCTGGGCTTAGCATTACTTAGTGCACACATTAACTAGTCATAGCAGCACAGAGCTGAATGTGCTGTGTTTGTAATAAGGATTCTTCAGTAAGGCTGTTCGGGACTTTCTGTTCTCACCTCTGTTACACAGCAGCTCTTTGCCTCGGTACCTCTGGCACTGCAAATCCTAGTTGGATCACAACATGTGACAGCTACTGGCATCAGCAGCTGCCAGTCAAAGTGCAGCACACAGAATGTTGCAGTCTTTTGCCCACATCACTATTTTCAGCATGGTATGCAGTGCAGGAGAGCACTTCATAAAATGTTAAATATGCATGATGACTGTGTATTTAATACCACTAAGATCAGAGAATCATGGAACGGTTTGGGTTGGAAGGGACCTTAAAGATCGTCTAGTTCCAACCCCCCTGCCATGGGCAGGGACACCTTCCTAGAGAGGACACCTTATTAGACCAGGTTGCTCAGAGCTCCATTCAACCTGGCCTTGAACACTGCCAGGGATGAGGCATCCACAGTTTCTCTGGGAAACCTGTTCCAGCGCCTCACCACCCTCACAATAAAGAATTTCTTCCTAATATTTAACCTAAATTTCCCCTCTTTCAGTTTGAAGCCATTCCCCCTTGTCCTGTCACTACAGTTCCTGATGAAGAGTCCCTCTCCGGCTTCCCTGTAGGCCCCTTCAGATACTGGAAGGTTGCTATGTGATCTCCACACAACCTTCTCTTCTCCAGGCTGAATAGCCCCAACTTTCTCAGCCTGTTTTCACAGGGGAGGTGCTCCAATCCTCTTATCAACTTTGTGGCCTCCTCTGGACTTGCTCCAACAGTTCAGTGTCCTTCTTATGTTGGGAGAGCCAGAACTGTACACAGTATTCCAGGTGGGCTCTCACCAGAGCAGAGTGGGAGAGAATCACCTCCCTCAACCTGCTGGCCACACTTCTTTTGATGCAGCCCAGGACACGTTTGGCTTTCTGGGCTGTGAGCACCCACTGCCGGGTCATCTTTACTTTTTCATGAACCATCACCTACGAGTCTTTTTCCGCATGGCTGCTCTCAATCACTTCTCTGCCCAACCTGTAGGTGTGCCTGGGATTGCCACAACCCAGGTGTAGGACCCTGCACTTCACTTTGTTGAACTTCATAAGGTCCATATTTATGGACATATGCAGATCCATATTTGCAAATAAATACAGCAGGTAAATCGCTGAAGAAAGGAGATTAACAGTGAAACAAAGGCATTCAGGGTATTACTCTGGCCTTGTGGGTGACACTAGTGAACTACAGCAGGAGCTGGGTGTCAGCACCTCCAGAAGTAAAAGGAGTAGTTAGCCTATTCCTGGAGAATTAGATGGAGCTGTTTGCCTCTGTGGCCTCTTGCCTCTGTGGCTGTTCCAAGGCATTTTCTAAATGAGCTACCACAGAGATTGCCCTGTGAGAACAGTTCATTGATGGAAGCCATGGTTTGTAGTCTAAGCTTTGTAAATGAAAAGGCGTGTATGAATTTGGTGGTGGTGTGCATTTCTGCTTGAGTGAGTGAGGAGTGCTGCTCAGGAGCTGTCTGCTTTTATTTCATTCATGCAGCTTGGAGCAGAGAAATCTCACCCTGGAGACAGAAATGATGGCCCTGCATGAAGAACTGGATCAGGAGCGGAAGAAGTTCACAATGGTAGAAATCAAAATGCGCAATGCAGAGCGGGCGAAGGAGGACGCAGAGAAGAGGAATGACATGCTGCAGAAGGAAATGGAGCAGTTTTTCTCTACTTTTGGAGAATTGACAGTGGAGTCTCGCAGACCAGAAAGAGGCAACACCATCTGGATCCAGTGAGCTTTGAAAGAGTAGACTGTGGGACTTTAGGAAGGGCTTAGGGGTATTTTACTGTATCAGGTGGCTGGTCACCTGTCTGAGGCTAGTACTCAACAAAATGTTATAAACCCTTGAAGGAAGGAATCGTACAGACATAATCACTCATATCTACAGCGTGTACTTATCAAGTTATACTCTTTGAATGCTTCATGAGACTACTGTCAAGTGTTACAACTGGATATGTGTATATAAATTTAAAAAACCCACACCTTAGAGAGCAAGAGATGTATCTGAAGAAATATTTTAATGCAAGTCTTGTATTTAAACTGGTAAATTGAAATGTTGTTGCAATCAAGCTTTATATAAAGGCTTTTCTCCCTTGCACTTAACATAATAAGCTATTTTTGGCATTGTGTTACCATCAGCTTATTTTGTATATCAAATGTTTTTTCTGTTTTTGTTTTGTTACCCCTTTTGCTGGGGAGTGAAGATAAACAGATATGTTAAGGTTTATGTGTCAATGGTTAACCCTAATTTGCGTCGCTTCTGAAAAAACAGCAGGACGAGAAAACAGAAGTGTTCAATGGGCAAAATAAAGCAGTACTAATTTAACAGAATTGATGGCCAGGGTAGAAGAACTAAATGAGGATATCAAGTCAGCAAAATTGGGGGCAGTGGCGAAGGGACAACAGCTGCTTGTTTGGGAGCAAACATGGGTAGCATAGTAAGAAACTGGGAGAGTGGAAAGGGAAACTTAAGGAGAAGTTAATCACATGACCAGAGCATTTTGGTGAACCCTAAAGAAGCCCTGTGCCTGATCACTGCAGCTCAGAGAAGGAATATAAACCAGTTGTTCTGACCGTATTTGCATCTGACTTACCTCTGTACTGTGGGTGAAAGAGAGTCCTTTTTGTAATGCTGGTGAAGGGACACACAGAGGGGATGAACCAGAGATCCTGGTAGCCTTGTCAGTGCGATGGGTACTGAAAAAAATATCAAAAACATTATGTCCAGAGTAGAAATTACTGGAGCAACTGGCAAGAAGGAGTAACTAAGGAAGAAAGCACACCAACATATTCACCACTTGTATTGACAGTGTATATTAGCAAGTTATCACGCTGTCTGCATGCTTCAAGACATTACTGTAAGTGTTACAACTGTGAAAGTCCCCAGGCTCACGGCATCACCAAGGGAACACCTAGAGGGAACAGCCTGGAGACTGTCAGCATGTGGAATGCCAGTGAAAAAGAAACAGCAAAACCATGCTGTAAATTAATCATTTGTTTGGCATCTTTACATACAGTAAGTATAACCGGTATTTTCTACACCGTGTTAAGGATGTTTTGTTTTATCTTTGCGTTTAGGACTGCAAGCAGTATTATTAGAGAGGATTGTTGAGACATCTTGGCTTCCCTCTAGTGTCTCTTAAATATATTGCAATTATTTTTTAATTCCAGTTGAGAATGAATGATGAGGGTAACCTCAAAGAACATTCTTGGTTGTAGCATGTATATTCGACAAGTGTTAATTGGATGTGGGAATTATACTGGGAAGCAACCACAAGTTTACATTTCAGAGAAATATAGAACATTACACATGGTGCTTGTGGATGCATTGTTTGTGTCTGGTGAGATTCAGAGTCCCCAGTCAGGACATCTATTGTACTAATTACTGTGAAAATGTCTAGTGCACATCCAGTCTCTGTGTGAATCAGAAAAAGTCAGACAGGGAGAGATCAAGGTATTAGGGAGGTGCATGTTTTTATCAGCAACAATCACAAGATGTACCCACAATGCTGAGAAAAGGAAACAGGTTACTATGTTAATTCTGATTTTTTAATTGGATGAGTGACCTTGATATCTGATGCAAAAGGCTTCAAAGCCGACTCACAATTTAGGCAGTATCTGACATCTGTTGACATGACATCAGAGTGTCTGAGATAAGTCTTTTCTTAACTGGAATATATATTTTTGCACTAGATATATATACAGTATTGAATGGTTTTTTAGAAGCTCGTGTTAGGCAGGATTTGTCTGTTTGAAGATTGTCTTCATCTAGATATGTAGCTCGTCTTCATGTTTCAAAAGTTATTTCAGTCAGTTCCTCAAAGAATGTTCAAATTCCAGTTGTATGGCTAAGTACTGATACCCAAGTTTTTTGCTTAGCAATCCAGAAGAAGACTTCACCTCACTGTCTGCAGAAATCACCTAAACAGATGGGAAACTCAAGTAGGCACAGCAAATTCAGAAAATATTACCAACCGTAAAGGTCCATTCCCATCCCTGCTCCTCCTGTGAGACTTCATCAGCATTTAAGCTGTGATGATAAAGTTGATTTATGTCCTTAATGGCCATCTTTGTGTTCCTCTCAGTGTTCTAGTTCTTTAAAAGCACAAAGGCCTTGATGTTTCTCGCATTCAGAATATAACACTTGTAAGTTCTCAGTTTTATGATACCATTCCCATGTGGTCCACAGCTTGTTCCCTTTAGCTTGTCCAACCTGTATGTGAATTGACCTGTTGGGGAGGGCATGCCGGTGGATCTAAGTGGCCAGAAAATAAACTCATGCCACCTCTCATTCTGTGGAGTGGAAAGGGGCAAGATTTATTTACGGGATTCAGATCAACGCAGACTGAGCCTGAAGGCTCTGAAAAAAACTATAAGGATTCCATGCAATGCATTTGTTGACCACTCATAAGGCAGTTTTTCAGGATTCTTAACTGTTAAGTGTTGAATGAAACTGAGACAACTGGTTTTATCACCATTTTGTGTAATGGAACAGGTCATCTTTCATTACAGGCCAAGTTGACAGTGTTACCTGCTACGAGAGGACACTAAGTTTCAAGTATCCATTAAAAAAGGTGTAATAATAAATTTGCTTTCACCTCCTTGCCACAAGTCTGTGAGCTCCCCAAATTAATATGTTGTATGAATTCACTGGTCAGCTCCAAGCTCAGAATGGCAGTGTCAGCCCTTCTAGCACATTGTCTCTCTGCCTCGTGAACAGTGCACAAGAGACAATGCTTATACAGTTACTGCAGATGGTGGAAGAAAATCTCTTGAGCTAATGACACCTAGCCCAGTCACAGGGTATGATATTACATTCAGAAGCATAATTTCAGGGCAGCACACACAAGCAGGCTAGAGTTGAGGGACATAGAGTAAGAGGGATACACTCTTACTGCTATTAATCCCATCTCCAGCCACATCTTTGGAGTATTGGGATGGGTGCTGATACCCATGTGCCTTTCCACAGTAGACTGGAAAAGTGGCAGACACACCCCATGCCTTTTAAGTGTTAGAATCTGATGTTTGGCTTTGGAAAGCTTTTGTCTTCCTTTCTGTTTGTGAGAATCCTGCTCCACGTTTGGAGTATGCTCTGGTGCAGCAGAATAAATAAACTTGCTACACGTCTTCGCTGCATGTTGTTATTTCAGCATCTCAAACTCAACCACTCAGCATCAGTTTTCCAAGTATGAAAATGAATAAATAAAATGCTATGTTAAATGATATGCAAAACTGATATGTTAGTATAAGAATAAAGAGGAAAGGAACTTGCTAATATTAGTCACTCTTAAGATCTGTAAGCAGTACTTGATGTTGTAGTTAAAATGGCAGTTCGGAATTTTATGAGAAAGATACAATTTGCTAAAGAGAATGAATATTTAACAAATATTTCTTGTGTAGCATCCCCGGTGGGATGAACAGCAGCAGGACAAGGAGACACTGAATAAACAGGTACAGTGATTTGCACATTTTGACAGCCCAGTCAAAACAGTGAGTTGCCTCCAGCTGCTGTGTGCTTTAACGCTTCCTGGCTGAGTGAAACTCCTAATTAATTTCCTTTCTTATTCTGAGTTCCCCCTGGAGTCTGTCCATTGAAGAGGAGAGTGTCTGCAGACTGTGCCCCTGGCAAATCTGCAAGGAAGTAGAGGGGAGGGAAAGGGGAGATGGGCAAATAGAAATTAACACTATTTGTGATGTGGGCATTCAAAAATAGAGGAAACAGATGGGGGAGATGAGGAAAACAAGGAAGTTAATATACCTGAAATTGCCATGTGTAGGTGGTAGTAATTTGCCCTCAGTTAAGAGCATTCTTTCTGAAAGCTTGTCTCTACAGATGGGTTACTGTAGTTAATGTTGTTATTCTTTCAGAGCTCTCTTGGCTCTAAATTACTTTCTGGGCTGACACCAGTAGCTGGGTCAGCTGTTTCACAACTACCTTCCTTGCTTTTATCAGTCCTGTGTGCTAACAGCAAGAGTTCACGTGAAGAGATTGCTAGCAAAGCCATTGCTGTGAGAGCTGACTGAAAGGCAGGGAGCCCTGGAAGGTCAGATGGTTCCCCCTGGGTTACCAGCACTCGCTCTGGGAACAGCTAATGGCCCCGGACTGTCGTTCAGCATCTCTGGAGTAGTGCTTCTCAGGAAATAAAATTATATACAGCAGATGCTCGCTGATATAAATTGCCATAGCTCTACAGATGTTTAGGAAGCGGCGAGAGAAGCTGAGGGGCTTTCCCTAAGAGGCTTTTAGAAGCTGTCATAATGTGTGTAATTACAATTAGCGTTGGTGATCTAGTTTTATTGGAAAAATGCTTGTCAGCAATAAAACAAGTTCCTTTAGTATGCCAATATTAAGGGGTAGTGTGAAAAATTTTTCAGGCCAGAAACGTGATCATGATGTAAATATATTCCTCCCTTTTTCCCAAAGGGGTCTGGGATAATGAGCTGTATATACAATACAATTCCATTTCTGATTCTTTTAAATGCAGGAACGGAAAATTTTTTCTACCTCTGTGTGTATTACTCTCTTCATGCAAAAGAGGTTTAAAATGATTAATGTTCAGCAGGACTTTATGGTTATGTTTAAAATACTGTTACGAGCATGGCTCACGTAATTTTTAACTGAATAATATTTAGGAGTTGACTTGGCTTGAGACTAAAAGAGGTAATTTTTAGCACCAGTATTTTATCTGTTGTTCATGTGACAAAGGTGCAGTCTTGATTTTTCAACCTTAACAGTTGCTGAAATGTGGGCTACAGTTCAGTTGAAAAAATAGTGATTGTTGCATGTAGCACTACCTGCAAATCCTAAACTGCAACAAATAATGTTCTCCAAGTCTTCAGCACATTGCTAAGCTATGCCAGTAACTGGTATTTTTAATTGCACATTCTTTATATTGGGCTGAATTAGAGAACCTGGATTTTGGCAGAGCAGGATGAGAAGTGCAGTGCTAGCTCTTCCCACTTTTAACCTAGACTGAGCACTCTGCTGAGGTTTACTCTTGCCTTGTGTAACAGTGAGATCTTAGGGTAAAATGTTGTGTGTGAAAAGGTTACAAATTCACACCTACCTAATTCCACAGTAGTTCCCATGTATGGACATGCCCTAATACTAATAGTGTGTGTGCATAATGGATCTATTTGTATGGTTTAGTAGTATTAATAGTGAATGTATCACAATTGACTTAATTGATATTCTTCTGTCTGGCTGAAGGGACCTACATCAAAGGAGGCTGAAACAGAAAGTAAGCAGGGTGTGAACCATGGCAGAAATGAAGCATTTCTGGAGGCAATTCCAAAGGCCATTAAGAGAACAGTTCATGAACTATTAATGTACTTCCGTGCTCCAGCTAGGCCTCTCTTTCCCAAGGCACAAAAGCACACTAAGCTATTAAAAACCTTGTCTAACAAGGAAGGAGGTGGAGACCTGCTAGTATCAACTCCGGAGGATATGCTGAGTAAAGATGGACAGCTTTGGATGCACAGGGGCCAGCAGGGGCTGAGTAAATCTGAATTAGTTTGCAGGACCAGGCACACGTATCAGATTAGGTTCTCAGTCCACAGTCCAGCAAATATGCCCATGTGGCAAAGCAGGCTTTACTGGCTTGGGCACACAGCAGTGTACAAATACTGCTGTGCTAGTTCTGGAGGTGGCTCAGTCCATGCAGAACTAGCTCCAGGCATCATCAAGCTCCTCAGCATATCAAGATCGACTGTCTTGCATTCACAGACATTCCCCAAACTGTTCAGCTACAGCCCCACTGCTTCTTCTCTGTCTTTCTCAAAGGACTGTGGCCACAGAAGAGAAGTGGAGGCAGGTGGGTTTGAGCATCCTTTGAAAGAGGCAATGGGTGGAGAAGGAAGTGACCCACCTGCTCGCTTTATACCTAACAGGTAAAGAAAGTCTGAAAGATGCAGGTTTATGTAGCTGTATCATTGCTCACCACAGGCACTATCAGATGAGGCCCTGGCAGTTCCCAGCTGTAGTAGGGCTTGCTGTGTTAATGCAATTGAAAGAACTGCCAGCTCCCAGCCTTGGGATCCGTGCTAACACTACAGCTCCAGGTTTCACTCAGACAAAAATGAAGATAATGGCAAAAGAGAACGCCTTCCTTATGACTGTGGCTGGCAGGTGAGAACAGGTTCATGGTAGTTGACAGGCCCATTTAGTTCTATCCTAGGAAGCATTTAGTGAGAGCTGATCCTTTGGGAAGTGTGCCCACAAGGAAGATAAAAGAGAGATCACAGCTGAGGTTCACTTCTGAGCTGTCATGACACTATGGCCTGTAATTGAAGTTGGAGGGGAAGCAATTGTGGAAGTCGGCTACAAGGTGTATGTATGTGTGTGTGTGGACTGGTAGAAATGTGGAATAAACTCCAAACAAATATAATACTGAGAAAGGAGCTTTGCTATTGAAGTCTTCATTTTGAGTCTGAATCTTACACTGATGAAAAGAGGTGGGTTGGCAGATCTAAAGAGGTGTCTTTTGTTTGTTCAGGTAATGAGTATGTGGCACACAGTAATCATAAAACTACTCCCTGGGCAGCACAGCAGTGCATTTCTATCTTTTCTGGCACACATAGAAGTGACCTATGCTGGCCTATAGTGACTGTACTCCTGTTCATTCTGCCCACACAGCTGTAATTGAAGTCCACTGAGGGGATGTCCTCAGTCACACAGCTATGCCCAATGCCCCAGTCAGGACTCTGTGCTAGCTGGGGGATCACTTTTAGATTTGCTTTGAGGTTGAACTTGAGTTGTTGCAATTGAGCTTGTGCTCTGCATGTAAATAGGAAAAAAGGATTGATCAAGATTACCGAGTTCACTTGTTCTTCTTGAGGTCTAACACTTTTAAAATGTGGAGCTTAATCATCTTAATATTGAAGTTGAAGCAATTTTTGTGATCACAGCAGGGAGGACTAAGTAAGAATCATAACTATATTGCTGCCACGGGTCAGAAATTATTGTTGTCATTACAATCGGGGGACTGAGGAGAAATCCTTCTCCATTTTTTGAATATGTGTTTTAGGAATAGTTGTTTAGAAGAACTTCATTCTTCTGTGTAGATTCTGTGTTCTGTGTTAGTTACCTACCCATAGAGGTAGGTGGTGTGTGGTGCTGTGGATTTACAGTGTGACAGGTTTTTGTTTCCTCACAGTTTCTGGGCAGTTTTTTTTGAAATTTAAACAAATTACTTGTGTTCTGCTTCTCTGCTATTCAAGTTCTACTGTCAAGGCAAACAGGAAGAAAGAAGAAGAAAAAAGGAAAGCCCAGCTACAGTTACAATATCTGTTTCTTTGTTCAAACCCTATAATCTCAGTAGGACCATATAAACCTTGTTCTCTGTAAACTTGTAATTCCAGTACACTATAGAAGTACCATAATTGCACACTGAAACATGCCTCAGGCAGGTCATGCTTTCTGATACTTTAGTAATGCTTTGCAATACTTAACAATTAACCTAGTTGTTACTGTGGGAAGAGCCAAATCCACTGCAACTCAGCAAAGGCCATTAAAAAAGGCAGGATGGCAGGAGAGAACGTCCATGCTGGTGAACACAAATCAAAAGGCTTGTTGCAACCACTGATTTCCTACTTAGGACTTTAAAAAAATTAGGAAATAATCATTTGTGAACATTAGGTATAAATTTTGCATTGATTTTGATGTTAAATATTTGCGTATGGAAGAGGGATAGATAGTTAATAGGTGTGCGTTGAACACATTAAAACAAGTCAGCAGAATTACTTTGACTTGGCCTGAGAAGCTGGAGTCAAGTCAGTGACCCTTCTGAGGGCAGCAGTCATGTCCATGTGATGGCTTGCCCTGAGAGTGGTAATGTTTAACTGAAGAACTGTGATTCTACAGCAAACAAATCTGCTGTTGTCTTCTGTCTTTATCTGCAGTGGATTAAGCATAAACAATGGACACTTTTTGACCTTGCACTTCACAAAAGGATAAATTATCTGCTCATCAGGGGCCAGGCAGAGTTGCTAAAAGGTATGCAAGCATAATCTGGGGCAGTTCTAATACATTAAATGACACTGCTTTAGAATGGCATAACTGGTATAACCAACAGCGAGGTTTTGCTCAAGCAGAAAACGTTTGCTAACAAATTATGGTGGGCTTTGGC